CAAGATAAAAAGCACAAATGGTAGCTGATCAAACAACCATAAGACAGGCTCTATTTTGAATCTCACAAATTAAGGACTAAAAACCAGTCAGTAGCATGTAGTGGCAATCCTAATACAGTAATGCAAATCCACGGGAAAATATGAATACCTTTATAGCTCTGTCAAGAAATAGTCCTTTTGGAATCAGGTTTGTATAATCTAAAAGAAGTTTCACATTCTCAATGTCGCTCTCAATACTATCCGCAACACCAGGGTACTGAATTTTCATTGCGACCTCCATACCATCCTTCGTCACTTTGTGCACCTATAATTATTAACAATAATTAAGCCAAAATAAGAGTATGAAGCATGAAAACACATGTGGGGAAGTTATATAAGTTTACATAATAAAATAAATATCATATAACATATTTAAAAAAAGCTTCTAAAAGGATTCTATAAATTAGAGACAAGCGTTTCAAATATGAATAACAGAAATGTAAACTGGAGAAACAAGAGCAAAGGTGGGGAAGAAAGGACAATATCAGCTTATGAGGAAATAAAATTCATAGAGAATAAGAATTGAAGCTGTATGCTTCAAAAGTTTCACATAATTATAAGTACGAACATAGAAATCCAAAAGCTTAAATAATAACAATTAAATGAATATTCACATCTTAATTGGAAAATCAAACTGAAGCGGGAAAAAACAACAAAGTACTGAACTGTTTGCGTAGCATAACAGTGTAGAGCAGCCCAACTGGATATAAGGCATTGTGGCGCCGTTTGGAATTACGTATCAAATCGAGTTTCATGAAAATTTAAATTTTTTTTTTGCTTGAAATTAATTTTTTTATGTTTTTAGATTGTTTTGGTGCACTTAGGTTAAAAATAGTTTTTAAAAAAATATATTATTTTGATGCATTTCCAAGGAAAAAACAACCGCTATCACCCTCCTAAACACCCCTATAATTGGTTTAAAAAACACTTCTAAACAATAGCCAGTCTGTCTCAATTTGAAAACACACACGAAGGTCAAAGCAAAAATGAATGGAATGCTAGGGCCAGGAGTCAGCTGCCATTGATTGAACATAAAAATAGATATGTAGCTAGAATGCTTCACCTGGCCTATACTTGCAGCAGCAATTGGTTCATAATCAAAACTAGTTAACTTGGTTGACCAGTCAGCACCCAACTCAGCATTCAAAACTTGATTCAGTTGGCTCTTGGGCATCACGTCTGCACCTTGTCGTACAATATCTAGAGCAGCCAAGATCTATAAGAAGTAGAAGAAATCAAATATATAATTGAAGGAAATATATGTCAACAAAAAGTAAGTCAACAGTTTGGAAGCCATAGTCAAGACAAATGATGATCCGTTGTTTCTTTTCTTCTCTTTTCTTTTTCAAAAAAGCACCTTCTCTAAAGCCGACGCAGTAAAAGTAGAGCCAAAAAAGCTTTAATAAAGCAATTATACTATTACTCCTGCTCTATTTTGCAGCTTAAACAAATATTCTTCAGCAATGCCAGAAATCTCAGCAAACAACAGTCTCCCATAGAAGAGAAGTTAGCATCTCTAAGATAAGGAAGGGATGGCATTTTATTATCAATTTATGAGTACCAATTCAAGATACCCCATATAGCTACTCCTTAGATGAGTTTCTATAACTCATGAAACTTCAAACCTTCAGATAAAAAGTTGGAATGCAAGATTTACAATTTTGAGAATTTAGAGCCATGAGGACTCCTCGGCAATACACCTGAGGTGCGCAAACATGACATCCTGCTATCTAAATAAACACATGAAATAGATAAGCGAATAGACCAAGCATACCGGAGCAGGAACAAGAGATTCATCCTGTATGCTCAGCATTTGTCCTATCTTGAGCGCAGCTCCACGCATTCTGCATAATGCAAGAGCCAGGCGTTCTGCATTTTTATCAGACAGAAATGGAGAATAAGCAGATTGTTTGTCTTGTGAACTTGGTGTACCAAAGACAAGTCTCTTTGCAGATTCCTGAACTGTTCCCCATGCAAGCCCGGCTCCTAGACCAGCAAACCTTTAGAAGTTATAGGATATAAGTTAAACATATAATCCATGATTCATGTCATTAACTTATAATTTGTTGAATCATCAACGCTAATGCTCTATTATCCTCTACTAAATTGAGCCAATATGTGAATTAACATAACATCATTAAGTTTTGATTTCCAAATATATTGGAAAATGTTATATATAAAATTTACTGGTGTGCATATGCATTAATTCAATCTCGGCCAAATTATATATATATATATATAGCAAATTATATATATATATATAGCAAATGATACAAAAGAATGAATTTCAATCGATAATAATAAAAAAATAAAAAAAATACTCACCCAAGCGCTCTTGTAAATGGACTGGAAGGAACTCTCCTCTCCCGAGGCTTCCTCCGCTTCACCACTGGCGGCGGCGCCACGGTTGCCGCCGGTGCGTGCCACAGCCAATTCTCCAGCACCTGCATTGCCTTTATTATCTCTATCCAAATCACCAATTTCCTCCTTTGAAATTCGATTCTCCTCTAAAATCTTATCTTGAGAAGAAACCGAAGGATTCACGACACCATCACTGGCGCTGCTTTCCTTTCCACCATCGCCAATTGGCAGCTGCGATTCAGCTGGGGTTGATTCTGCTGCCAAGTCAGGTGAATTGTTGAAATAAGCGACGGATCCATTTAGCCTGGGAGGCGAGAACTCGCGTACTTTCCCTTTAGTGAGGCCCGATAGATCGGTGGCGGAGACTAGCGCTTTCTTAGCGGTGGAGGCTATTAGGGTTTCGAAATCTCCAGTTTCGACAGCTTTGGAGCGTTTGGCAATTTCCTTGGCTACCAGAGAAATGCCGCTCAGCAGTCTTCCTATGTGATTAAACGAACTCATTTCATGGCGCCTTATAGATTTGGTTTTCTGTTAAATTCACCTTTATCAGATTATTGTTGTTAGTAGTGCAATCGATCGATCGATCGATCGATCAGTCAACACTCAATTTTAAAGCGAAAGCTTTTGGTTACGCGAGCGAGAGGGAGAGAGGCCACGTGGTACCTGTCCCTTCCATGAGATTGGGGAGAAAGCAAAGGAAAAGTCGATCGGTTAGAAGTTGAAAAGCAAAGCCTGCTAGTGCTAACCCAAAGGCAGAAACCAAATTGGATTTGGAAACCAGGCCATCCAAGAGGGAAGTCACACGTGACGACGTCCCCAAGCCGAAGGGACACATGGCCCGAAAGTCTTCTTGCAACTGTTTTGGGTTAGTCATGGGCCACGAGGCCTGAGTAAGAAGATTGTGTGGATTGAAGCCCAGCTACAAATATACGGGCTATAACTGCTAGCTGTATATTTATTTGAATTTTGTTTATTTTACTTTGTAACTAAGAGCCCAGAAACAAAAATGCAAATGTCTCCTCGTTTATTATTGTGTACTAAATAGGTGATTCGTGCAGGGTCAATATTTTTTCTAATATAAAAAAAATATCTACAATTTTTAAATAAAAAAATTAAAGACTTGAATTATTAACTTGATTAGATTATATAAGTTAAATTAATTTAATAATATAATTAAAAATACATTACTAATAAATAGCATGAAGTGAACATACTTAGATTTAATTAATTAATTTGATTTAAATAAAAAATAAATTTATTTTTAAAAAAATGGTAAATTCTACAAACAAAACAATAACAAAATCCAAGATAATCTAAGTTATTTTTAGAATTGGTAAAAATCCTATAAAAAATAAATAAAAAAATTACGCATTAACTAGTTAATCTCCAATTGAATAAATATTGAATAATAAAACTAAAAAAAAACATTAACTTATAAAAAAAATCAAATAAACCTAAGAAAATACTTAAGGTAACCTTTCAAATTCATAGTCAATAAAATTATAAATATGAACTTAATAAAAAGTTTTAATTTTTTAACTAATTTAAAATTAAAAGGTAAAATAAAAAAAATATATATTAATTAAAAATTTGTTAAGAAAAATAATTGTGTTTATTAGTAATAATAGTAGCTATAATGGTGATAATTATAATAATAATAGTAATAGTAATGATAATTATAATAATAATAATCATAATAGTAGTGATGTTCTTAGCGGTGGTGGTGGTGGTACTCGTACAAGCAGAAGGAGAAGGATTGCAGCACTTCCAAAACAGAATCGGAATCCTTTACTTTGTCCTGCCATCGATTTGCACCACACTTCGAATGCCAGAACATTTGTTTAAACCTCTCTTCTAGCTTCTTGCAGATCAAGAAAAACCAAACGCACGATTATTATTAGCCACGTAAAATGCTTTATTGTTTTATTATTTTCATTGGCATTTGCACCAGATAATGGATTTAATTAGCATTTAGCTAGTCACCTTCTTAGCCAAGATATGTAATTAAAAAGTTATTTAATATTTAGAATAAGTGCTTGATCTGAAAAACTCCAGGCTTAATTTCTAAAATCTGTGCAACTGCTCGGAGTTATGGACGGGATTTTGCTTTTAAATTCAGAACCATGCCCTGTAATCTAAATTAATGTGCGAAGTGGGTTAAGGGGGGCACTCGGGAAGTCTCAAAAAGCACTTGCAAAATTCAAGACAATGACAGTTAACAGAAAGATGGAAGATGATCCATGAATCATGACTGTTAACTAATTCAGAATTGTTCAAAGGAAAATCAAATATGCTTACCACCTCAGACTTTGTAAGTGCCATCTCCCTCATTCCTCATGTTGGTGGGCCATCCATGCAATTCTACATAAATAGTCCCATTCACCTGCTGCTGTAATGCGCGTCGAACCTCTTTTATTTTCGATTCCAGTACTATTTGAAGGTGGTTCTTGCTGCTCTGTGATGATTTCTTGTCTAATGATTGCCCACTACAAAGTTCCGAGCTACTATTTTATTTCACATTATTATGTGGTTAATATTGATGCGCCAAACTTATTGCTTTCACCATTATCTATAAAAAATTGCTGAATATGCTATCTCTATGTCTTCTTGAAGATGGATACGCAAACCAGCCATGTATGTAACTTGCTATAAATTGGAAACTTCAGAGTATTCGGCCTTTGTTCTTCCAGCATGGGATCGTTAGGTCCTTGCTTTCTCCCTCTCTCTCTCTCTTCATTCGTGCACTTTGATCCCTTCATCCCCCTTTCGCTAATGTTTCTTTCTTTTTCTTTTTTTCCGTCAGATCTGTCACAGTGAATTCTTTCTTTCTTTTCTTTTTCTTTTCATGTCTTTCAAGTGATTTCTCTACTTTATCTCTTATTTAAGGTTCTCAAACCGGGAAAAGTCTTGCAGGTAACCTTCTTAAGATGGACGCTGCTGGGAGGGCCAACGGACCAAAATACGAGTGCTTGCTCTTTGGTACGTTAAAGCCAGTAATTAGTTAATGAAAAACAGGATGTCCAACAGAGAACTCAGGAAATCTGATTTGAATTTCTTAATGTATTCACGCTTATGATTAATAATGTTATGTTTTCCAGACATGGATGATACTCTGTACCCCTTGATTTTGGGTCTCAACATGGCTTGCCGAAGGAACATTGAAGGTTAGACCAGAGTAACCACGGAACTTGTGTTGATATATCAAATGAAGTACATAAATAATGCGGTTTGAGTAATTCTCTATGCAGAGTTCATGTTGCATGAGCTACATATTGAGGAAAGTGAAGTTCCGAGAATGTGCTTGGAATTATACAGGGAGCATGGAACAACAATGGCCGGTCTAAAGGTGAAATTATATCCTTGATTCTTTAATAGTATAGTCCTCCCTCTGCTTCTTCTTCTTCTTCTTCTTCTTCTTCTTCTCAGCTGGGAGTTTAACTAATGAATCTTAACACAAATGAAAACCAGGCTCTTGGCTATGAGTTTGATAACGATGAGTTTCATGCTTTCGTTCATGGAAGATTGCCTTATGAAACACTGAAGCCTGATCCGGTGCTAAGGAACATTCTACTTTCCGTCCCACAGCGTAAAATAGTAAGTCAAATTTAATTCCATTCTTTCCTTTCAAGCGAAACATATTTCAGCAAAGTAGACATGGAGTGTTGGCAAATTTTCTAAGATGTGCCTTAACGTCTTCAGATCTTCACAAATGCTGATAAGGCACATGCAGCTGAGGTTCTCAAAAGGATGGGTTTCGAAGATTGTTTCGAAGGCGTCATTTGCTTTGAAACCCTTAATCCTCCTCTAGAAACTGCAAATAACATGGATGCATTAGATAATGATACAATGATTGCACGAGGTGATCCAGAGCCAAGTGACTTTGATGGTACTACTGCCACTGGAAACAAAAATAAAATAAAAAATAATTTAGATAATGGTATCAGCTCCAAGTCACGAATCCTCTGTAAACCCTCTCTGGAGGCCATTGAAGCAGCTATTCAGATTGCAAATGTGGACCCAAGGAAGACAGTAATATTTGACTCATAACTTAAACCTGAAAACTATCATTGTTCTGCTTCAAATTTGCAGAGATCATGTGGAGTTATATCTCATTTCTTTTTTCTCCCTTGTTTCTTCATTCTTCTCAGATCTTCTTTGACGACAGTGCTCGAAACATTGCAAGTGGGAAAGCGGCAGGACTTCATACAGTTATTGTAAGCTCTACAAGTCACTGCTTTTCTTGTTATCATCAGTACACACACAGTAGAACACACTAGTGATGTGTGATTTCAATAACCATGGCAGGTAGGGAGCTCGGTCCTTGTACCAGGTGCAGACCATGCCTTGAGAAGCATCCACAATATCAAAGAAGCCATGCCTGAAATTTGGGAGGATGAAGGAGAGGAAAAGGAGCAAGTTATCCAGTCCACCACAGTCGAAACAATGATCCTTGCTTAGGTTTTCCTTTCAGCTGCCTCACATTTACGTACACATTAAACCTGGTTATTTATGGCAAAGTAACCTAATGGCCAAAGGAGGAGAAGGAAATAAAGTACTGATGGTATATTCAGTCTTCGTGTAAAAAATCTCTACCGTGGAAGTAAAAGCTCATTGTATTTGGTATGGGCATGTAGCGTCATACTCTATATAAAATTTCATTTAGCTAATCTGAAACAGTTGGAGTAAGATGGTACGTAGTGAAACGTGGTTGGGATTCTTATTTGAAAAGGCTTTGTTGAGCTCCAAGTTTGATACAAATGTTATCTGGCATTTATGTTCGCTTAACAGTACTATATGTAAAAAATCTCTTCCTACCATGAGCTTACAAAACATTGCTCATGTTTCTCTGAGCCGCGGATGAAGTTTCCCAAAACTAATGCGAAATCAAAGGGGTGATTGCTCGTGAATATTCTCAATGATTATGAGAAACCATGTCTCTAGGGTTGTTGACATGATCTTCGAGAATACAATAATCAGCTATCTAGCGGTAGCTCCCCAGAATTAACAACTCTGCATGGCTTCCGAGGATTATCTGACCTGCTTGTCTCTACAGATTCAAGCTTGCGCACAACATCCATTCCATCAATGACATGTCCAAAGACGACATGGCGGTTGTCCAGCCAAGGAGTCTGCAGCACAAATTAAGAACATTGTTTGCATAGAATTTCAGTGAAAGGAACTCTTTCTATCGATATTTCAGCACTTCAGCTGTTCACTGAACTTAAAGATTAACAAGGCACAGACAGCCATCATCCAATCCATGTTATGTACGAAAATGATAGGGATCCTACTTAAAAACTAAGATTGGAATGAAGAGGGAGTTGCCCCAATGCAATACGATACAGTAGGCAACTATTTTAGAAGAAAATTGTACGAAATAACCAATCAAGTCAGTTACAATTTACAACAAATTAATCAAACAAACGCAATTCATGAACCTTCTACAATTTTTAATCTGGACCTCCTATCTGATAAGGAAAACTAACGAACTACCAGGGCCTTCTTTTCTTCTTTACATTCTTGTTTCCAATGTTTCATCAATAAACACTCAACTTCATGTTTTACATTTCCTTTTAATGCCATCTTTCCATATCAAAATGCAGAGGAGAAAGAGAAAACTAGGATATCTCTCCACCTCCACACACAGAATATGTAGGAACTAATGCTCTCATTCGTATTCCTATGTACATGACCGCTATCAATTCATTATCTCTATCAGAAGAAGACAACGTGAAACATTTTTTATAAGAAACACAAAAAATTGGGTAAAGTTTCCACTAGATCTATACTTGAAAAAATGAAGTTGGACATGCAACAACCAAAAGAACAAAACTCCAACAGTTATATTACCTTTACTGTGCAAATGAAAAACTGGCTCCCATTGGTATTGGGACCTGCATTTGCCATGCTCAAAACACCAGGTCCAACATGCTTCACTGCAAATGATGGATTTAGAATTTTAGCACAATATTAGTCGGATCCTCCCAGGACCCCAGCCAAATCGCCTATGTTATAGAATAAAAGATAAAAATGGAAAGGGATGTTTACGTGATGCTCTGAGTTATAGAAGTTTACAGTATATATTTATTCAGGCTCATGAAAATACTCACAGGAAAAGCTCTCATCTTCAAAACTAGAACCATATATGCTTTTTCCTCCAGTTCCCTGCAGTTATGAATTTAACAGTTTCTTCTTAGTGAAATCAACTTCCTACTTAAGAAGCAGTATGTGTTAGACTGCAGAAACAGAGAGCTCACATCTCCTCTCGTGAAGTCACCACCCTGGATCATGAAATCTTTGATAATACGATGGAAGGAGCATCCTTTGTAACCATACCCTTTATCTCCTGCATGCGGTGTTTTAACATCAGAGGCCAAACACATCACTGTATGATTAAGCCTCAAATAATGCCTCCAACAGATAATCTTTGTTTAAAAAGCTCACCTGTGCACAAGGCACGGAAGTTCTCAGCAGTTTTTGGAACAACATCTCCAAAAAGGCCCATTACAATTCTACCCACGGGTTCACCCCCAACTTCAACATCAAAGAAACACTTGGTCGTCACTTTTGCTTGTAGATCAACATCCTGATACAACAGGGATATGAGAACACAGGACCCCAATACATACGTGGTTCCAAAGATGGAAAGGGCGACTTATGCATACTTCAGAATGCCCAAGAGAAACACCTCCCCACCCCCAAAAAAGAGAGAGAGAGAGAGAGAGACAGAGAGAGACAGAGAGAATAATAATAATAACAGTAATGAAAGTGTTCTGAGACAACAAATACATAGAATTAATAGAGCACCACCATAGGCTGAAAACTGAACTGAAAGTGAAGCTAAAGCCATTTAATTTTGGGTTACTTTAGATTGAAATGTACCAACTGTAAGAGAAAAAAATGCTGAAACTGGCCCGTATCATTGTTTACATTCCTTTGCTAATTTTGTGGACGGAACTATTCCATGACTAGTTTGAACATTTGAGAGCTAGTTCAGGAGATGATGAATGTTAGCTAGAGATGCAAGGAAAAAGAAAGGTCATCTTCTACTTTGGCAATCACATCTCAACTTTCTATATCACCACTTAACTCAACATGGATAGAAAAGAAATTCGTTGAGATGTGATATCTGATAGTGAAACTTAGCAGTCCGTTGTTTTAAGGGCTTTTTAAATACTATCATTGATGAATACCAAAGCAAAGGGATTGAAAAAGTAGTTACATTTTCCATTGAGTTGGCGCATGCCATTCTCTGATTCTTAATATAAGGTGCTTTAGGAAGCTGTATGATAGGGAATTTCGATGCGTAGTGAGATCTTGATGTCAATGCTCTTCCAAGGCAGTTCAAGGTTGGAGTTTGAGAGTAACCACCCCGGGCATTTCTGATGGTAGATATCTTTTGTGGCCTGCTTGTATTCAAAAAATCTTGGTCATAACTACCCTGCCATGAAAACAATGAATGAGAGGAACGAAAACAAGCCACATAGTAAGAGTACGAGATACAATAGGTAAAAAAAGGAAGAACATACTAAGATGTACTGCTTGCACGGAGGCAATATGATTTTTATTTTTGTACAATTTTTGAGCAAAGTCTTACTGGCAAATAAATCATTGGCAGCATCAAAGTGTGATGGTTGTCCTTAATCACAAAATTTTGCTTTGGCAAATCAAATGTGATCAACTCATGTCTAGAGTCTAGAGACCTCATTATTTCTTCATCTCATTCCTTTCAATGACCTTTTAATCACTGATTAATAATTAGTTGTTAGAACCAAGTTTCTGTTAACCCCCCGCCCGCTTTTCTTTTTCGCAGCTTTCAAGGTTTAGTCACAGGGCAAAAGATTTGACGGCCATGCTTCAGTGATTCATTGTAAAACCACACCAGGCCAAGAACTCAACAAATCCAAGGGAAAGTTGTCCCACATTGTCTACAAGCAAAGGAAGCATCTTGATAATTGGGAAAAGGAAAAGGAAAAATTACATCAATAAAACAACCCTTGTTCAAGTTATCAATATTCTTCCAGGATCACAATAATATAATATGAAATTAATACAACTGGGATTAAAAATAAATACTAGAACAGAAAGCAGAAGCCGGGATTCGATAGATTGTGAAATGAATGTTAAGGCAAACTGTCAATCACATTTTAGTCATAAATACAGAATGATCTTCTAACAAAACCCATTTCTCTACAATTCTCGAAGTTGATAAGCAGTAGTCGCCAATCTGCAAACTAGTAAGCCCAAAAACAAAAATTGCAAAATAAAGAAACAAGCAACAACAAACAAGAACTGGGTTCTTGAAGGTTTGTCCACTTAGTAGCCATGCAACCAGCCGCGTCAACAATGACCCAAGGTGTGTCATGTCATTCACAAACTTCATCTACCAGTACTTGCTTCATTATTCTTGTCTGTGCGTATTTTCCTGACTTGTGTCGTTGTTTCAATGTGTTAAACTTGGGAGAGAGTATGTGAACATGCTATGGAGTACTGAAAGACTGACCTGAATAACAAGGCGAGGACTGTGTGCCATTTGCATTGACGATGTAGAGGCCATTTCCTTTGGCGGACTAGACTAGAGTCTTCTTCTTTCTTTTCGGCTGTGCTTGCGTTTTGGAGTAGAGAATGTTCGAAGATAAGATCACCTTAGCCGTTAGCGCGTTGAAGCCTTTAAGGCAAGGTGTCAAGGCAGAGAGGACAAAAAATCGACAGACCGGGGGAGGCACTACCTCGTTTTATCCGACGGGTGTCTTAAAAAAATCCGCCTCGTATTTGTTGCTCTCTCAACTCTCAAGTCTCATCAACTTATTATTGATTGGGCTGGGTAACAGCAACCGGCCTTAGGCCATCCATGGTGAGACCACTAACTAATATCTCTAACCCAATGGGCTAGCTTTAAACTGCTCACATGGCCCATTTAAATTAATATTTACCAAAAAAATATAAACAATTCTACTTTTGTTCTTTAATATCTTCAAAAGCTCTATCTACTTGTTAAAATTATAGAATTTCAGTCAAGAAATTGAAAAGATTGATCATTTACAACAACAAAAAAACATAAGTTATTTGAAAATAAAGTTTATATTTAGGATAATTAGTTAACCTTTTAATTCTAACCATATAATTTATTTATTTTTAGTTAAAATAACTGGAAACGGGTATCTGATACCTATAAAAAAAAAATTAGTATAAACATTACTTATAATTATATATGAAAAACATTGAAGTTCTTTAACAATTTCATATACAAGGCCATGAAAATAGACAAGCATTATAATCCCACGTGAATTCACTGCGTGCCATCAATTCAATAATCTTTCTAACTCACAATAATACATGAAATTATTATAGATTAGGTACCTAACAAATATTAGTTATTGTATGGTTTGTATTTTGTTGAAAGTTTCTTTAAAATAAATAAATTATGGATAAATAAGAAATTAATCTAAAATAATTATTGGTTTTCCCACCAAAAAAATCTTAGTTTTTTTAGATTTAATTATTGATTTATGGTGGTTAAATAATAATTGATAATTGTTATAATTAATCCTTATTAATATTTTAACCTTTTAACTTTTAAAATTTCCTATAAAATAGACGAAGAAAGAATTTCAAATAAGAATTTAACTTTCATTTAATTTGTTATATTCTCACATATATATTTTTCTTTAATACTATATGTTTTAATTT